AATTCAGAGATGAGTCAGGAACTCAAAGCATAGTAGGCTAATTTCTTACTTCTCCTTCCTGACACTCAAAGTCGCTACAGAGGTGAGATACAACTTTCTAAAGTTTAGTTTCTTGCTATATTAGGTTGAATCCAACTTTTCTCAAATTCTACTCCATAGGGCCTCAGGGTCAAGCAAAGATATTTCTATACAGTGTGTGAGTTCCAAATGCACATGTGTGATAATTCCAAAGATGGAAAATACATACTGAGATATGGTTTTAAAGGATTCCTCACTTTAGGACTTCTCAGAAATTTCCTCCCTCCAATATTTATTTGTTTACTTATTATTTCTTTATTTGCATGTTTTACATCAGGTGTGGTCATCATAGAATTGCTACCACCAATTCACCAGTGCACCATCACCTCAGGCCCTTATGCTCTTCCAGCCTCAGAGATTTTATCAGACTAAACCGAATCTATAATAAGGATACAGAGTATTGCTATTTTTTGTTTCAAACTTATGTGAACAAATTTATTTCCTAGAACACCCTTGGGGAACATACTATGTTTCACAGAATGCAATTTGGAAAATGTTCTAACTCACCAGTGGGTCCCAGCCTTGCTGTCCCTATCATCTATAAATTAACATAATAAACCACCAGGGGCCTCCGTGGAGGTACAAGGAGTTAAAGTGCAGCACTGTAGCACAAGTTTCATCCCTCATCAGGGAGCTAAACCATATGGCACAGCAGACCTCTCCTGTCTCAGCCGCTGCTCCCCTCAGCAGTGTATTCAGTACATCTGCCTGTTCTGACCCCCACTCTGTCTCTGGTGGATGCTGTTATTCCCTACCCCCAGCACCTCTGGCCTGTACCCCATTTCTTTAAATAAACCTTTAAAAAAAAACCCAAGTTAAATATTGTGGAATCACACAAACTGCACCCAGAAACGCCACTTTCACTTATAATTTTTAGGAGTGAACATGTTCATTCAATGGAAGCCCTTAGGCTGTCAGACATGAGGCTTCCTCTGAATCTAACTGGCTTTGGGAGCTTAGACAAGTTACTCAACTACTTTGAGCCTTAGATTCTTCATTTCTTAAAAGAAGATAATAATTAGTACCTACCTCAGAGTTGTAAAGTTTAAACAATACATTAAGAAAAACAATGTCAAATACATATGGTAGATGTCCAAATATATAGTTTTAACCTGGGTTATGATCGCTGGCATTTAACAAAGACAACTCAAGTCTGCCACCCACAAAACAACTCACCAACCAGCTGAGAACCTCCCGGGGGGCTCTTAGACCTTGTACCACGCTGCTCATTTGTGCCCTTGACTGCATGAAACTGGAACTGCATCTTCAGTATGGTTAATTATCCACAGTTACCCTGACATAAGCAGTCTAGAGAAACTTCAAAAGTTTGGGAAAGGTCTGATACAACAAGATCTTTGATACAAGAAAATATGACTAAGCCCGATGCTTGAAACACCAGTATCAAGGAGTGTTATGTTTATACTTTTGACCTAATCAAAATATTCTTATTACGTAATTCATAGAAGTTTCATACTTCTTTAGCAATTTTTTAAAGGATTTATTTGTTTATTTATTTATTTGTTTATTTATTTATCTATGCACATAGGCCAGAGGTACAGGGGCAGTGAGAGGTTTCACCAGAGACAGAGTGGGGAGCAGAACAGGCAGACTGACAAAAGTACATTGCTGAGGGGAGCAGCGGGCCAGTCACCTCCCTAGCCAGGGATGGAACTGGTGCTGAAGAGGCTGCAGATAGCTTGCAGTGCTACCTCCTATCCCGTTGCACCACCAGGGATGGTGCTATTTAGCAATATTTATCTGTGAGTTGTAAACCTTTCTGCTTCCTGAGAAAATATATTATAAGCTAAAATGAAAATATATTGCTTATATTTCTCTTCTAATATTTTGTTATCCACAGAGTTGCCCTGGTTACCTCCTCAAAAAGCCTTCTAACAACACCAGCTGCTATTGGTTACAACTCTGAACTGTTCCTAACTTTTAATAGCTTCCTTTGTATCACATTTTGACTTGATAAATGAAATACTGTGTTGGCATAAAAATAAATAAATAATCCAGGTGTTTGGTTTTTTTTTGAAGACATCTCTCGGGAAATAACTTTTTCTTACAAAGTCTTTTTTATATAGCTTACTTAAGGAGAACTTCAATAGTTCTTGCACTATTGACCAGGACATAGTTTTGTTTTGTTTTTTAAGATGAAAAGAATGGTAATTACTAGAAAGAACATAGGGTTAATATCAACATCTGATGAAATTCAGACAAAGCAAGACTATTTAACCTGCAGTGTATCCTTTAATATTTCTGGACCTTGTATTCTTAATTGTAAACTGGAGAAAATTAACTAGTTGCTAGTTGATGTCTTTGGTTCCTTCCTGCTTCACGATCTGGAAAGAATGACTTTCTTTTAATTCTGATCATACTTCTGAGCCTCCTCCCTAGTAAACTTCACTTTCCTGGGGGAGAGAAAACAGGCTCAACAATTTCAACAGAACAACTTTTGAAGCAGGAAAATGACCTATTTAGAGAAGCGGAACTGAGCCCTCTGCCCTATTCTCTGTGCCGAGATCCCCTGTGGGTCAAGGTTTGGAATGATACTGGCAGATCTTTCATACATGTGATGCTTCTTGATAATAAATACTTTTGAATAAATTTACTTTTCATTTAACTTGGTCACCTACAATGACCTTAAGAAGAGGGAACAGAAGATAAGCAAGTCTTAACAAGAGAGGAGTAACAGAAGTGAGATGGTTCGTTCAAATTTCTAAGAATGGGATAATGTCAGCAGAGAATGAGCATCAGAGTGGAAAAACTGTCCCTAGGAAATTGTGAAGCGGGATGCTGGAGGCAAAATGAACAGTTAAGGACCTGAGAGAGTACTTCACTTCCTAACTTCCTTTTAAATATCATATATTTCATGTATCACTGATAACATGCACCACACTCACACACATACACATGTGGGCACATATAATACTTACTGCACATTTAGTACTATTGCTTTTTTTTTAATAAATAAAAAAGAACCCAGAAGCACTTTAAAACAAATACATATTTTTATGAACTTACTGCACCCATGAATATTTGAATAACACATATCAGAGAAAAGAGATACTTTATTTTAACAGGTAAATGAGACACCCTATAAATATGAAGTTCAAGTAACATCCTCTTAAGTGATCACCTTGATGTCTAGATTAATGCACAAGTTTTCCAGAGACAGTAGGTCTCAGATTCCCATTCAGTCACCCTGAAGCCACCTCTGCTCAAATAGGCAAAAGTGACAGTAGGTCTCAGATTCCCATTCAGTCACCCTGAAGCCACCTCTGCTCAAATAGGCAAAAGTGACCTTCAGTAGTTCCCTATTGTCTGTAAATTCTTTCCAAACTTTTCAGTCTGGACTAGAACCTTTTTTCCTGCATCCCTCATAAAATCTCAACCATATCTTTCCCCACTTGAGCAAAATTAGACGTCAGAGCTCCTATCATTAGTCCTTCCCACACATTCCTCCACCTGAGTCGGTGGCTTTCCTTGCGCTCCTTCAGCTTTGCTACAGGCATAAGACAACAGACATGATGTCTGTGCCCCACTGTACCATGCAGGGCACAGGAAATAGAGGGTCCAGTTGCCAGAACAGAGGGTCTGGTTCATCTTCGTACTCCACTATAACATAGTAGCATAACAAAGCATAGTAGGTGCTTTGTAAGCCATATACAACAATTGAGTGAATAAATGAATTATAGAAAATAACTGTAGAAAAGAATCACAATACAGTCTGGTTATTAGTCAACAAATTCTATACAAAATAGATATATAAGTAATAATTCAAAGGCACTTTATTGATAAAATTGAGTCATGCAATTAAACCATGAGTTTTCAAAATCATACCCTGGTAACTACAAGAATACAAGTCCGCGAGATGGAGTGTTGTTTGGAATTAGGAAGGGATTGTGCAGTTTGCTTTTTGCTTTCAGACTTCATATGTTTTTAACGTGGCACCCCCATCCTGTACTAGTGGAAGACTCTGCTTCACCCTGTTCCCTGAAACCTAATGGCCCAGATCTAAGTCTTCCCAGAGTTTCCCAGGGGCTTTGGAGGGGTCCTAGTAGCTCCCCCCAAATCTCAGCACACTCTGTCCCTAGAGCCACCTCTGGGTGGGAAGCCAGTGGTGTTGGGTTCTCAAGTTGTTCCTAAGCATTTACTAGATGCTTTCTCTTTGCTTCTGTTACTAACTTGATTAAAGAGAATAAAAGTAGGTTATACTGCAAGAAGAAAAATATTAGCGGACGATGCCTTTACTTTTTAAAATTCCATCAGTGTTTGTGTTTGTTTTGTTGTTTTTCTTCGTTTGACAGTGATCCTGTGCATTCTCCTTGGGGGAAATGGCGCGTCCAAAGTCTGCCAAACCCAGCCTGAGAGTTCTGAGATCTGTTAGGGTAATAGTTTAAACCAAACGTCGACAAACACACAATTAAAAGAAACTGCGCTTTTAAGGCAAAGGCATCTGTAATCGCAGCGCTTGGTCTCCAGTTTGCAACAACGTTTAAAAGCAGGATTCTTAAACATGAAAATGGATAAAAGAAGAGAAAACTCAAGTCCCGCGGTCCACCGACTCCTATTCATTATCTCCAGCAGCATATGGGACTATTCTACTTGCCCTCGCCCTTTCTTCCGCAAAAGCAAAAGCAACCAAGACCGTCCCGCTTCGCAGCAAACCCACTCTTTGTGCCTGAGCGGTGCCCCAGCCACCACCACGACTTCCTCCTCCTCCTCCCGCCGCCGCCTCCTCCCGCGGGTTGCCCACTTTCTCTCCGGGAAGCCGGCGGCGGGCGCCCTTTGCGCCGGGAAGCCGGTGCCACGATTGGGCGACGGTCCCTGAGCCTTCAGTTCTGCGTCGGTTTCAAGGCTCCTCCCTCCTGGTGAAAGACAGACTGCGGGGCGCCTGGAAACCGGTCCGAGGGCGCGCGAGGGAGAGAAGAGCTAGCGAGTTGAGGGATTGACACAAATGGTCAGGCGGCGGCGGCGGAGAAGGAGGCGGAGGCGTAGGGGGGAGCCGAGGCCGCTGGTCTGCCGAGAGTTGCGCGCCCTGCCCGGCCGTGGCCACTAGCGCGGCGCCTCGGGTCGGGAGCCGACGAGCCGAGGGCCAGGAAGGGGAGACGCGAGCCCGGCGTGCCCGAGCCGCCCCGGTTCTCCCCGCCGCCAGCGCTTCATGAATCGCAAGTTTCCGCGGCGGCGGCGGCTGCGGGACGCGGAGCGGGAGCCCGGGGAGCGGGCCGAGAGCGGCTGCGGCTCGACGGAGGACCCCGGCGCGGAGGAGACCTCCCTGGCCGCCCGGGAAGCCGCCCCCGGCCGCGCCACCGCCTGCCCCCGCCGAGCGGCGCCGAGAAAGGAACCGAGAAAGTATGGCTGAGGTGGAGGCGCCTAAGAAGTCCCGGGCCGTCGGCTGCGGCGCGAGCTGGGAACTTTGTGTCGGGGCGCTCCTGGCTGGGCTGGTGGCGGAGGGGGCCGGGGAGGCTGGCAGTCGCCGCCGCCGCCCCCCGACTGACCCCGGGCGCTTGGCGCGCTGGCTGCTGCTGCTGCTTTGGCTGCTGGAGGCTCCGCTGCTGCTGGGGGTCCGGGCGCAGGCGGCGGGCCAGGGGCCGGGACCCGGGCAGCAACCCCCGCCACCGCCGCCGCCGCCGCAGCAGCAACAGAGCGGGCAGCAGTACAACGGCGAGCGGGGCATCTCCATTCCGGACCACGGCTACTGCCAGCCCATCTCCATCCCGCTGTGCACGGACATCGCCTACAACCAGACCATCATGCCCAACCTGCTGGGCCACACGAATCAGGAGGACGCGGGCCTTGAGGTTCACCAGTTCTACCCGCTGGTGAAAGTGCAGTGTTCTGCCGAGCTCAAGTTCTTCTTGTGCTCCATGTACGCGCCCGTGTGCACCGTGCTGGAGCAGGCGCTGCCGCCCTGCCGCTCCCTGTGCGAGCGCGCGCGCCAGGGCTGCGAGGCGCTCATGAACAAGTTCGGCTTCCAGTGGCCCGACACGCTCAAGTGCGAGAAGTTCCCGGTGCACGGCGCCGGCGAGCTGTGCGTGGGCCAGAACACTTCGGACAAGGGCACCCCGACGCCCTCGCTGCTGCCGGAATTCTGGACCAGCAACCCCCAGCACGGCGGCGGGGGATCCCGCGGCGGCGGCGGCTCGGGGGGCGTTGGCGGGCCTGAGCGCGGCAAGTTCTCTTGCCCGCGCGCCCTCAAGGTGCCCTCTTACCTCAACTACCACTTCCTGGGGGAAAAGGACTGCGGGGCGCCCTGTGAGCCGACCAAGGTGTACGGGCTCATGTACTTCGGGCCGGAGGAACTGCGCTTCTCGCGCACTTGGATCGGCATCTGGTCAGTGCTGTGCTGCGCCTCCACGCTCTTCACCGTGCTCACCTACCTGGTGGACATGCGGCGCTTCAGCTATCCGGAGCGGCCCATCATCTTCCTGTCCGGCTGCTACACCGCGGTGGCCGTGGCCTACATCGCAGGCTTCCTGCTGGAGGACCGAGTGGTGTGTAATGACAAGTTCTCCGAGGACGGGGCGCGCACAGTGGCTCAGGGCACCAAGAAGGAGGGGTGTACCATCCTCTTCATGATGCTCTACTTCTTCAGCATGGCCAGCTCCATCTGGTGGGTGATCCTGTCGCTCACCTGGTTCCTGGCGGCCGGCATGAAGTGGGGTCACGAAGCCATTGAGGCTAACTCTCAGTATTTCCACCTGGCCGCCTGGGCCGTGCCGGCCATCAAGACCATCACCATCCTGGCCCTGGGCCAGGTGGACGGAGACGTGCTGAGCGGGGTGTGCTTCGTGGGGCTCAACAACGTGGACGCCCTGCGCGGCTTCGTGCTGGCTCCCCTCTTCGTGTACCTGTTCATCGGAACATCTTTCTTGCTGGCCGGCTTTGTGTCCCTCTTCCGCATTCGCACTATTATGAAGCACGATGGCACCAAGACCGAGAAGCTAGAGAAGCTCATGGTGCGTATTGGTGTCTTCAGCGTGCTTTACACGGTGCCAGCCACCATCGTCATCGCCTGCTACTTCTATGAGCAGGCCTTCCGGGACCAGTGGGAGCGCAGCTGGGTGGCCCAGAGCTGCAAGAGCTATGCCATCCCCTGTCCCCACCTCCAGGCCGGTGGAGGCACCCCACCTCACCCGCCCATGAGTCCCGATTTCACAGTCTTCATGATCAAGTACCTTATGACGCTGATTGTGGGTATCACGTCAGGCTTCTGGATCTGGTCCGGCAAGACCCTTAACTCCTGGAGGAAGTTCTACACCAGGCTCACCAACAGCAAACAGGGGGAGACCACCGTCTGAGTCCCTGGGTCTCAGCCCATTCCCAACCCTCAGCCGTGACCAGACACCCCTCGCCCCCCCACCCCCCACCACCACAGAAGCTACCCCTATGGAATCCATAACAAGTCTGGCTACTCCAGGCTCCCTCACTAGACACTCAGTTTCGGAGGCCCAGTTTAACAACACAGCTCCTGCCAGAGCTTCCATCCCTGGGGGCAAAGGAAACCAGAGGGACCAACTGGCAGAGGTGGGGGTGGGGGAGAGGGCGAGAGCAGACCTCTAACTAACTCTTACACTCCTGTACCAGGGCTGTATGCTTTTATTATTGTAAATAGCCTGTGTAAGATTTTTGTAAGTATATTTGTATTTAAATGACTGATCACGAGTTTTGTCTTTTACTTTACTTATTTTTTAAGTTTTAATGATGAGGGCAGTTTATCCATCTGAGGCTTTTACTTCTTGCCCTTTTTGGAGAACTGCAGCGATAAAACCAGAGCGCAACAGCTGGGTGCGCCCCTTCCGGTATGTTGCTCCCCCGCCGCGGGTGGGGTGCTTCTGAGACAGTGCAGCCTGTCTCCTCCCGACTCCTCTTTATGCCCTCTCCCTCCCCTTCCTTGCTTGGGGTCCTGGCTTTTAAGGTACCAAACTCCACAAAGCTTCCAGATTCAGGAGTGAATCTTCACCCATTCCAATTCTGCCTTTGTCCGGGGAAGGCGCGTTGTCGCTTTGGCTTCCCGAAACTGAATAGTTCAGAATAGTTCACCGTGGGGAACCTCTCCCCCAACTTCAAAGAGGCGCAGGGGCGTGGGCGATAACAGCCCCAGCTTTCCTCCCCTACGATGCCCAGCCACTCCCTCCTCCCACCTAAGCTGGTTAGAGGGTGGGTGGGATAATCGATGCCAAACTTTTAAGTTCAATTTTTGGTGAATGAGCTCATTTCATTCTCTAGTGTCTAAAACCTGCTTTGGGTTTGGCCAGCGTCATGGAAAGATGTGGTTACTGAGATTTGGGAAGAAGCATGCAGCTTTGTGTGGGTTGGGAGAGACCGAAGATGGGGTTATAATATGTTCATTCTAATTGCATACTGATACCTGGCAATCTGCCTCTAGCACTGAGGCGCCTGCCTTTAGGTTTACCATTCTGTAACACGGAAATGCTGAGGCAACCTAGAAAGGTTTGTGAAAGGATTGATGTTTGCGTTCCTTTATAGGACAGCAGAGCATAAACTAAATATGAAAACTTGAAGATTTCAGTGTAATGGACTTACTCAAAATGAAGTGCTACTTTCTTATTTTTAATCAAGTAATAACAAACATATATCAGAAAGTCTTAAGAGGTAAAAGTTGTACACTTTGAATATATCATGATTATTATTGAGCAACACATTCTGAGGGAGGAACAATTCACATCACTAATAATAACCTGGTAAGATTCCAGGAGGTTAAGGGGGTGGAATATTTGATGGGATTAAGTCCTGAAATAAACAAAATACAGACTTGCATGTTAAAGGGAAAATGTGTGCAGGTCCACTGCATTAAATCCTTTTTGGATTTACAGAAACGTGTCAAATGTAAATCTTTTGAAGCCATTTAAAATACTCACTTTAGTTCTCTGTGAAAAAAAAAAGGAGAAAAGCAATCCTCCTGATTGTATTATTTTAAACTTTTAAGAGTTTACCAAAATACCGGTACTTAGGACCTAAATTTATAAATGTCTGTCACACCCTAAAATGACAATGGTCTTTGAATTTGGTATGCATTTCTTCTGTTCACTGTCACAAAATCATCTATATTTATAGAGGAATAGAAATTTATATATATATATTACCATATTTTTAATTTCGCAAATAAAAAATCAAAGTTTTGTACAAAATTATGTTTTTTTGTGCCTGAAAATAATAGAGCGGAAACTGTCTGAACTGTCTTTAGACTCTCTAGTGTCTCACAGCCAATCCCACAGTATAAAAATTCAGAAATTCAATGAAAAAAATCTATCCTTAAGCCTTCAGAGCATTCCTTGCAGAGAATTATCCTACATGCATTCTTGTGATTGACATGAAGTCCAAGAAAAGAGCTGCTTTCATGACAGTAACAATGTAACAGAAATTTGTAAATTATTTCTTTACTCAGAGAGCCTTATTAAAAAGAACTCCAATTATAATAAAGATGTTTTTCTTTCAAGGAATAAGCATTTTATAATATGGAAGTTTTTAAAAATCTTCAGCCATCACCACCACAATTTTTGTGAGGTGTAGTATCTTTTCCATAATCTTGGATATTCTCAAACCATAAATAGGCAATCAGTAAATGGTTAACTGAAGATGTGGATAGCACTTTAAACAACATGAGTTGTATAAGGCTGTTTTCTTATTTGCATCTAAAGATCCTATTTTCATATTGTACAAGAAACCTTTTCCATGGGAATTACCTTATTGTTCTACATTAAATCAGAGTTTATATTTGTATAGAAAAATTCATACTTTTATATAAAAACATTTGTATAGAAAAATTCTATTTTTATATTGTGCATATAGATGTATGAATAAATATCTATATTACATCTCTATATACATATACACATAAGGATACACCTACACTAATTTTATAAAAATGATGCCATTTGCTTGTACATTTCATGGAAAAGAGGTTATAAGAAATGAAAAATGCCAGATAGGAAACCTCAAGTATCTCTGAAAAGCAAAAAACCTTAGAAAAATAAAATCTGCAAATATAGCATTCAATTTTAAATGACTATATTATTTTTCTTTGTTATATTGACATAGTAGCCATATTTATAGTAGATATATTTTGTGTAGCTACACACACACACAAAAATAACAATTCTTAGGCCAAATTAAAACATGTTTCCTCACTAAGTAATTCAATCAGAATTTCTGGAAAAAAATTTAAGATTGTTTCCATCCAAGAAATAAATATAAAGCATTCTTACTGTGGGTGTCCTTAAATTTGATGCAGAAAGGTTTTATGTTTGCATAAATAGCTTTAGAAGACATTTTTAAGTCACCACCAGACTTTGTTTTTAAAAAACAATTTATTTTAAATTATGTATCATATAGACAATCAGTGAATTCTTTTGTTTCTTTCAATCCTAGAGGCAAAATAAGACTTGCCTGGAAAACCATAAAGCTATGGTCCCATTAACATGCTGTTTATATGACAAACCCTATTTTCACATGCTTTGGTTTCCTATTTTATTTTTTTAAGCCAGATATCAATTGTGGTCAATTCCCCCTTGCCCCCAAAGAGTGCCTGATTCAGGTTTTATAGTGAATGTATACATTATATGACAGATTTCTGATGCTCTTTTGAAAAGACAAACAAAAAAAGCCATTTTTCACTTAAACTTTTTGGAGACTGAAAGTCATATTTTTAATCTCAAAGCCAGCCGGTGTTAAACATATGCAAAGCAGCTGGACCGGATTTTTCAATTTGTCAGGGGCCGTCACTTGTCAGCTTCAGCACAGTTCGGGTCCTTTTGTCTCCATGGAGCACTGAAGCCTTCCTAGATAGATGCATCATTCCCAAAGTCCAGTATTTAACTAGCAACGGAGACCACAGTGAAGTGTTGGTGGCCAGTTAAGGAAAAAAAAATTGCCTATAACACAAACCACTCTTGGTTTGGGTGACTTCAGGTGATAGTACATTCCAATCTTGGCACATGTACTTATTTTAAGATGCCATAATTTTCTGTGTGTGTGTTTGTGTTCAACTTCAGTGACACTTAGGTAGGGCTTCTCACCCAGCTCTTCCCTCCTTATGAGCCACATTGTATGTAATGTACATTGCAATTAACTGAAACCAGCGGTATCATGTTGGTATCTCTGATACATTTAATTATAATATTCAGCATAACTAACGCCTGAGAGTTAATAATCAAAATGCAGTCATTACATATGTCTTGAGGTGGACACTAGTGACATTATAGTGAATGCTTCACTTAATATACTAGGTCAAAGTATTTCAGTATTAACCTGTAGCAGTCAAAATAAGGTGTGGCCCATATATGTCAAACCTCTGGTTACATTACCACAAAGGAATTGCAACATTGCCTTAAATGCAAGACTTACTGAAAGGCCTTTATAATGGAAATCCCAGTCAAGTAAAGTTTATTTTGGTGATCTCTGAGATTTATATCTATATTTTGCACTGCGTAAAATGTAGAATTACAAAAACAGTACATGACTCAGATTTCCCTTTAACTTTTTGGGCTTAAACATTTGTTTACTTTGTTGATATCCCTTCCCAATGGATGTGTTAAACCATTACAGAATGACAAAGCAGATTGCTTGGACCTTTCTGATTTAAAAGACAGCCATCTATAGTGACAAATGTGTCTACTCCATTGCAGAATCATTTCCCATTTAAATATAATAAAGCTTCCTTTGGGGATGTTTGTTTATAAGTTGCTTTGGGATTCCAATAACAGATCAAATAAAAGGACTTCTCACAGAAATCTTTCTCATGTAGTGGGTAATTTCAAGTAGAATCTATAAGCACATACTACAATGAACACAAAATCTTCTGAGAGTCATCATCAGTTTTTTAAGTAAATCAAATTCTTAAATTTCTTTAAAAAAAAAATAAGGTACCATTTTCCTATAGTGATTCTCTAAACAAACCCTCTTATTTTTATATTGTAATGTTCTGGAGAGGTATATTTTTTGAAAGACATAATTCACTAACACTGCAGTTTCTAAAAGAATCATTAGTACACAAGTTGAAATGTGTAGCTGTCCAATAATTCTAAAAGCAAAATATTAGAATAGCACAGATTTGCATATTTTATAGACACTTTTAAAATAAAACTGACTTTTTAAAAAAATATTTATTTATTTATGCATATAAGAACTGAGGTACAGGTCAGAGGTATTGTGGGTGAGAGGATACATCAAAGACAGAGTGGGGAGAATAGGCAAATGAACTAAAATATACTGCTGAGGGGAGCAGCAGGCGGCCAGGAGAGGTCTGCTATGCCATGTGGGTCACCTCCCTGGTTGGAGATAGAACTCATGCTGCAAATGGCTGTGGACGGCTTCACAGTGCTGAGCTTTAACCAGTTGTGTCACCGGGGAGGGCCCAAAATTGACTTTCTTGAAGACAATAATTTTTAAGTTTTAAAATTTTCCTACAAAGGAAAATTCCTTTATAGCTTCTTTCACAGGATAGACTTCCAAAATAGTTCATAGCAATATGATGATTAATATGAAAGGAACCATTATTGCTGCTTTGAGATAGTCTGTGGCCTGGATTTCTTTTCCTTCTTTTTTTTAGAAACCAAGTATCCTCTAATTTGTGGATATCTCCATGTTTCAGATCTCAATACCTGTTTGAATTAAATTTTCAGGAGAATAACTGCAGGATTCCCCCATCGACAGAGTCTGGCCTTTATTTCTTTTCATGTTGGCCATATGTCCTTGCTTGAATGAAGCACTTTGGGCCAGACTGTTCTGTTGCCCTTGGAAATGCTCATCTTCACAATCATAGCAGCAAATACCTGGATGACATACAGGCTAGTTAATGCATGTACCAAATGCTAAGTGCTACTTGACTGTTAGAAGGACTTTTTTTCTTTAAAGATAGATGTAGAGACTATTCTTAACCTTATAGCTCCAATTCATGCAAAGCATTTTTTTTAAAGTTAGCTGCAAAAAAATTTCATAACTCAGATTGTTTAGTTTTGCCAGGGATTGAGATCTTTCTTGGCACAATGGGACTTTTTATGGTAAAAATACGAAAGGCCTGGGCAAACTGGAATAGTGGGTCACCCTATTGCATGGATTGAACTGTGAGCTTAAGATAGAGTAAAGTCTTCTCTGTTGGCGACTGGCCTAGTATTAGCCTTTTTCATTACCAGATGTAAAGTCAATGAACAGCCCTTTGTAATTGATCTTTGCTTTGAGTACCAATCAAACAAAAGTCAAGTGAAATGTGAAGGTAGAATGGAACATACCACGTGATAGCTGTGGTCACTCAGCCTTTAGCCTCTGCCTCCTGAAGAAATAGGGCAGAGATACAGGATTCTACCTCGTCTATATAGCTCTATATTCATATTATTCATGAAATCAGGTTTAGTAGCTATTTTTTTTAAAGATTTATTTATTTATTCATATAGAACTGGGGTACAGGTCAGAGATGCGGAGAGTGAGAGGATTCACCAGAGACAGAGCGGGAAGCAGAACAGGCAGATTGACAAAGTACACTGCTGATGGGAGCAGCGGGCGGGCCAGGAGAGGTCTGCCGCGCCTGTGGTCACCTCCGGGGCCGGCGGGATCGAACTCATGTGGAAGTGGCTTAAGCTTCTCAGTGCTGTGCTCCAACCCGCTGCGCCACCAGGGAGGGCCCTTAGTAGCTATTTTTATAAAAGTCTCTCAAAAGTACCCCCTTGAACTACATCAACATTTTTAAATTGATGTTAAGGTATAACAGGTTGTGAAGAATTATATGGTTTTTCTTTTCTGTATGTTATTTTCATGGATGATAATGCAATTCCTTGGAAGGAGATTACAAATTCAAGCAGGGATTACCCCAAATGGCTATATGTCAACATGATTTAATTACCATCTTTTTCTCAGTGCTCAGTAGGTTTAGCATCCATAGTTTTCCCAAAATGAAAAATATCTACAGGAAGAAAAAAGTAGATAAACGTGAAACCCTTCACTGATTATTGGGAATTACAGAATGCAGTGTGTGGCTCATGCAATCCATGAGGTTCATATACAAAACTCTTCAATCGGAATTGATCCAGCTTTTTTTTAGTGAATTCGTCCTTCTGGGTCACTCATGCCTGTTACCTATCTTGTAAATAAATGTACATAAGCCTTTAAAGGTGTTGTTGAAATCAAACCTTTTTTT